TGATCTCTTTTTCTTTTGCTCACACGCTGTCTCTCCCTCTTCTCTACTCTTTCTCGCGCGCGTTTTCGCTCCCTATCTCTATTTCTCTTGCTTTGGTCTAAGTATCTTTCACTCTCTTTGTCATTTTCTGTTTCTCTCAGGCTCAGTTTTATACACACTTTCTCGTTCTCCCTTTCTCTTTTCTCTCATTCACTTTATCTTTTTTTATATTTCACTTCCTCTAGCCTCGATCTCCACTACCCATATATAAACACGTCACTTAATAAAATATGTTTCTTCCTGTGACTCGCATTCTTACTCTCGCTGGTTTTCGTTCTTAGGAAGTGAGCATCGAGGAGATATAGAAGGAGGGATAGAATAAACAAAGTAAGCCCTTTTCTACTCTCTCTTTCTCCTTCCACCTAGTCCTTCTTCTCCTCACTTTCCACTACCGTCTCCTCTCTCCCTCCCTCCTCCCTCCTCCTCCCGTCATTCTCTCTCTGTTTTTCTCCTCCTTTCCTGAGATTGCTCGCTCTAATAATGCTCTTATATCGCTCTTTTCCCTTTCTTTCTCCTCCTCCCTCATTCTTTCCCTTCTCTCTCCCGTTCTTTCTCTACCCCCCTCTCTCTATCTTCCCTCCTTCTCCCTCCACCCCTCGTTACGCTGCCCGTACAGCACACAGTACACGGTCTATGCGTGCTCGGCGCTCACTCAGGGCATCACTCGCATGGCGGTGCAGCTTCGGCTCAAATACGCGCACGCATGCTAGTCGCCGCAGCGTTCATTTCCGTGGCGGGTTCAGACAGACGCCCGCAGCGCCACGCGGGGGGTAGCGGCGGCGGCATCGCATATATATAGAGAGCGCGTGCTGTAAGGAAACGAGTGAGAGTAAGAGCGAGAGAGATAGCGAGAGAGAGAGAGAGATATAGAGAGAAGGAGAGCAAGAGAGGGAGAGAGAGAAGGAGAGCAAGAGAGCGAGAGCGCGAGCGAGGAAGAGGTAAAGAGCGTGAGAGATACACAGGAAAGGAGAAGGAGAACGTGAAAGAAGAGAGTGAGTGGAAGAGAGAAGAGAGTGAGAAAGAGAGAGCGAGAGAGCGAGAGAGGGAGCAAGAGACAGACAGCCAGACAGACAGACAGACAGGCAGACAGGCAAAGACAGACAGACTAGAAAGAGACAGACAGACAGACAGAGACAGACAGACAGACACACAGACACGCACGCCACGCAGGCAGGCAGGCAGTGCAGGCCAGGCATGGCAAAGCACGCACGCACGCCGCACGCACACACACGCACGCTACGCACGCACACACACACCACACACACTCACACATCACACACCACACATACCGCACGCACGGCGACGCCACGCACGTGACGGTTTCGCCACAGCACGCAGCGCACGCACGCACACATCCACACACACACACACACACACACACAGAGACGCACGCATGCACGCACGCACGCACACACACACGCTGACCACCACGCGCAGTTTAACGACAGAGCAATAACTAACGCTCGCATCGCGCTCGATCTCCGTAATTTCGCGGCAGAGCTCCGTAGCGGCGGCCTTGCATTCACGACACGCGGCGAGGCGTCGACAACTGCTGTCGTTTAAAGTCCTCGCGCGCGCGCTCGCGTCATTCCCGACGGGATAGAAAATCAGCAAGAGCTGCCGAGGCTTCCGCCGGAAGCGCTGTGTCCGCAGAGGTGAATCTCCCAAACATGTCTCGCCGCGTTCTCCTCTGCCTCTCCGATGAACCGGAGAAGAAGCCATTTCAGCTATAAATCAACGTTAGGCTGCCATTTGTCGTCATTGCTCGCCGGTGCTCTGCTTGAGCGATTCTCTAGTGCGCTGGTTCATTCGGTGCATGTCCATCTAGGTTCGTGCCTTTCGCATTTTTTTCAAACCCGTGATTTAGAAAATACGTGCCGAGCCGAATATCGAGTTAGCGTTCGTACTGCAGTCGTCACTCCTTCCAAGCTAATACCAAGAAAGAATAATAATAGAATAATCTATTATTATTTACTCCTGCTAATACTGTCACACCCGGCCGTTATATTAGTCCGCTTTCAGATATACCCGGTCCTAACGAGTTACGTTAGAGGCAAATACGGCTATAAAACTAGCTCTTCTTCACGGGATATATTAATACAAGCCACTTATTATATTTAGACATTATCTTAATATCTAAGGTATCACACGGAATTAATACCTGAGATCGTGGCAACCAACACTACATGGAACCCTGGTGATAATACTCCTGAATGAGTGAAACTTTCATGTTACCCTACAAAAATGATTAAAATTGCTAGGACAATTCGTCTCGCGGCGTGACACGGAAAGTCGAGCTTCAGTCGTCTAATATTATGTAAAGCTCGTTTAATACTGCAATTACTATAGCATGTGTAGTATGTGTGTGCATGGGTTCACGCTGCTCCGCTTGTATGTTGTGCCTGAAGGTTTACGCAACGGTGGCAGTTAGAATGCGCGCGTGCACCGATTCACGCCCGCGACACGAGCTAACCAATGGACTAAGCCACATGGATTGCTCCCTTATTTCCGTTTAAACGATGGGATATGTGACTAAACTAACGGACAGGACAAGACTTAACTAGACGGTTTGCTTGTTAGTTCCGTTTACACTCGTGTACCAGGCGAAATATTACAACAAACTACTGAATACGGTACTTGAATAAATCAACAAATAAATAAATAAATAAATAAATAAGTAAATAAATAAATAAATAAGTAAACAAAATATATACGACAGATATTATTAACAGCCAGCTATGCTTGCAATGACTCCGCGAGTTTAACTTCGATTTCGCGCAGAATTTCATCTTCAACTAGCTATCGTCTGCCACATACACGAACAGCCGGCCTCGATTTACAGTCTCGTATAATTTAGTCTTCATCCACGCATTTCGCTTAGTGAAGACATTCACTTAGTGAATTAGTGAAATCATTAGTGAAGACATTTCGATTTAGTGAAGACATAATCGGCGCGTTATGAATAGGTTGGTTCTACACGCGCATACTCGCATCCCGCCGGCTAACTACGTCGTGCGATATGATCGTCTGCGAGATGCGTCGTGATTAATTGCCGGGTGTCATCAGAGATAACGGCGCGTATAATTAAATACAAGATGGCTGATTCAAATCGACAACAGAGAGAGAGAGGGGGGAGGGGGAGAAGAGTGTGTATGTGTGTATGTAAAGGAGAGAAATAAATAGAGGAAAAGGAAGGAAGAGAGATGCAGAGAGGGAGAGAAAGACAGAAAGAGGAAGAGAGAGAGCGCGCGCGAGAGAGAGAGAGAGAACGAGAGAGAGCCTGATGTTGGCCTGTTGACGCCACAGTGACGTGGCTTCTCCTCGGGTAGGTGATTGGACGCATACGTCGACGGGAATCGATATTGCTTTTTAATAATAATAAAAAAACTCGCGCAAATTCTGAAATTAAAAAGAAATTTTAATTCGAACGTGGGTTTAATTTGACGTTAGCCACGCCCGATTGCGAGCATCTGTCGTTGCAGCAGTGGCGTACGTACGAGCATCGATTATTTTTTTTGCTTGACAGACGAATCTCCGTTATGCGTACGTATCGATCTTCGCGCAGAGGCTAGAATTGCAGAAATCCACAATAGAAATTATCGACGCTGTTAACCCGAGCGCGTTCTGAAACGGATTTTAATTAGCATACAATTTTCGGACAAAAACTTGTATGGAAAATTAGTCAAAAGAATTGAGTAAAGCGTATGCCATGGATGCCTCTGGCAACCGTTCGCATTTAAGATCAAAGAGTTTTTTTCTCGCCAGGCAGTTTTAAACGTACGAGCCATGCTGGCTTTAACAATCAGTCATGCAAGCCGCCGTCAAATCAAACGTGAGGTAAGGACAAAACCCGAAGCTAGAATGAAATATCAAAATAGTATTAAGATACTATTTAAGATTAACTGTTATTACTTATTAATCGAATGGAAAGCCCGAGATTATGATAAAACATAGAAATAGCATTATACGATGTCAGGTATGGCTCAATTATATAAAATATAATTGAGGTGCTATAGGTGAGGTGCTTGAGGTGCTATTGAGGTGCTATATATAAAAGGTCTAAGAAATGAGATGCTAGTCAAGACTAGTTGGTACAACGTGGTTTAGAAACTCGGAGTAATGTGAAGACTATATCGCCGCTCTGACCCCATGAATTATACGGTGGACGTCGCGTGACCGAACTATCTCGTCGCTGATTCGCTGGAATCATCACTCCGTAGATTTCTGCGTGCGCAAATGGAATAATAAATTCTATCGAATGAACTTACGGCGAACGACTCCTGATGGCTTTTATCCGGAGAGCTTCATTCGGCAGTCGGTGTACGCACATTGTCGCGCAACAAACGCAGCGCACACTCGGAGGTTTTCGTCATCGACATTTCGTTTAGCTCTAGAACGATTCGGCGAGCAAGAAACCGACCATTTGAGCAAATTCATAGAATGAATACACACAGCAAAACCATATGTATAGACGCATCCAGCTGAACAGCATTGCTTACATTATACACTTTATAAGTATGACACGCAAACAAACCAGACCGCATGCACGCACGCACGCACGCACGAACGCACGCACGCACGCACGCACGCACGAACGCACGCCCGTAATGCGCACGTCTACAAGCAGCCAGCCTGTCTGTAACTGCGGGTTTGAGTTTATCCTGTCTCTTACAATGTCATATAGCCTAAAATATTTAGGATAATCAAATATTCAGAATTAATTTATAAATCATCTTGTTTAATTAAGAACCTAGTACATGCAGTATTGATCATGGTAATTCGCTTCATCTATCAAAATGTTAGTAAGATTTTAATTAAGAGTTTAGTAAAAATCCGAAATAGCGCAATCTTGCCACGTACTGGTAAAGGTGCATTTAACTATCAAACGTAGTTCGACGATAATATACAGAAAATTAGGAAAAAAAAATAATTGCGTAAGTGCTCCATCCTTTTTTACACAGGTTGTGACCATCTTCGTGGTGTCGTTCTTCACATGGAGATTAACGGTAGAAGATAAAGATGTACTAGGAGTCATTTATTACGGTAAGACCATGTAATTTGTGGCAAGTAAGCATACATTATTCACCATTCATCATTCTCGTACCTTCTCTCTCCCTTCCCCCT